AAAAAAAAAGTTCACAATTTTATAATAGGGCCATCAGACCATCCAACCATCCAATCAACCGAATAACCAACCGATCAACCGACCAGCCAATACACAGCAAACAGATGGATATATAGGGAGACAAGTTGAAGAGGAGCAGAGAGACAAACGGAGGGGGAGATAGAGGTACAGATGGAGGAAGAGACAGATTATTTCGGTCAACAGCAACAACAACAATAATTGTTATATAAAACCAATTTTTTTTTTCTCCTTCCAAACTTCCAGTATTTTAGTACAGAATTTACCTGGACGAGAGGAAAAAAAGTTATTACTTAGTCTACACCAAAGCACCTTCCAACGACTGCATTATGCATCAATATCAACAAGAAAAAAAAAATGAAATAATAGTAATAAAGCGCATAATATAAGATTTAGAAAACCTCAAAGTTTCCGGTGACAGATATATCATTCATCCAATTATAAATTGCTGACCTCATTTCCCAAAAAGAGATTTCAACTCTTATTGCTTTCAACAAATAAACTAAATAATTTGCTAATCACCACATTCAATCTTCATTTTTCCAAATTTCGCAAAGATAAAGAAGATTATAAATTTTACATGTTCCTCAACCGTTAGACAAAAGCAACGTTTTTGACACGTTTGTTAGCTGTAAAAAGTAAAAACAAAATATAAATGTCAAATAAAAACCGCTGTGCAACAGTTTATCACTGTCAATTAATTCATCATAAAAATCCCATCTATTGTAAAAATTAGTTGAATTTTACATCAAATAATTGTTGACAATTAAAGATAAATAGTTTAACTGTGGCCAATTTAAACAACTGAGCTCATCAACCCGTCCCAGTTCCATCTATAAAATATGAATCAAATTTCAATCTTTCTTTTACTTGATGCAAACTTAATCCTACACTACATATAAAAGATTGCAAATATCCAAACTGCTACAAATGAAACATTGTCTAAGCTCACTACACATTCTCTAAAATAATAACTGAAGTACTATGAGCCATCCCGAGATGAAAAGCGTTTTTGAAAAGCCTAATGAACGAATTAACAAATATTATAATTCTTAAATGAAATTTCGCAGCAACAGGATTGAAGAGGTTGAAAGTATTACAAGCGCAATGCTACCTGCTCTTTATGCCTTAAAATATTAAAACATCCAATTTTTCCTGTACAATAAGAGAGTTAAGAAAAAAAAATTTTTCCTTCCTATCTGACAATATTACTTTCAACTCCTTCATATTAAATTTTATTGCGTTACTGTTCCTTCCTTTGACGTTTGATTTTACGTAGTCTAAAGCTGTTTTGTTCTTTACGAGCGCAAAAACAAAACTTGTTAAGTCTATTAACATTACCTCCACGATAAGTACTGCTATCAACTTTCTTCCTAATTTTTTGACTACTGACTGCACCACTGCACCATTGTAGAAGTTTCACTGTACTGATGAGTGTTTTAAAAGGACATCTTGTGGCAAGCGGGAAGATTCCCTAATTTGGCAAAACTGAAATACATCTTTTTTCGGTCGTACACTTTAACAGAACAAGAACAAAATACTTTGAGGACAAAATTACAAAGAGATTTGAGTGAAATACGACGGCAATGATTTAAATTTCCAATTTATCATTGAAGTGTAGTGTTCGGTAAACAGTAAGTATAGTAGGCTTTAACGGTTGTCATTAACCTTCTGCTCCCATAACACTCAAAAACAGCGATATAAACTTAGTGTTGTAGAACGGTCAAAGTGCATTGAAGACTGTAAGTGTTTAATCAGAAAAAAATTTCACTGCTTCACCGTAACGTTTCTGTTCATAAAACATCAGGCAAGAAATTTAAGGCAAATAACTGCCTTCCCCTGCCACCGAATTCATCAAACCTACTAGCGACAGGTGACAATTACTTTGAAAACATGGAAAAATGTCTTCACCAGTGATAAAAAGGTTTTAAAAAGTTTTCTGACCGTAACGGTTGAAAAAAGCCTCGTTTAAATTTTAAATTTGTTTCATTTCAACCCTTAGCGAGGATTTGCAAATTTAAAATTTAATT